ACTTTACCGAAAGAACCAGAGAGTATGGATTCCTGCTGTCACGAAAGCTTCGGATCTAGATTAAATAGTTTAGGGTTTTGTTTTATTTACAGTATTGTAAACGACACGTATCAAGGCACATCTATGGATAATAAACGCTTCGTGGAAAAAAATAAACACCGTTGGTTTTTAGTATATAGAAATTCCTGGTTCAAAATCCCGGCGAGGGAGGTTGGCTCATTCCACCGTCCCTCTCTCGGGGGGCCAAATAAATTCTCTTGGCGAGCAGCTGACGTTGGTGGTCATGTGGCAGGTCGATCATCGCTGACAACACGAATCCGATGAGCACGGTTGGCTACGTAGGGTGCGATGGAAGTCAAACGTACGTGCAACAACGTGAAAATCGAGCACCGACGAGACTTGAGGGGAAGGTGGGACATGCGGGACGTATCCTACCAGGGAGAGCTGTGGATATTACGGGACCCTTTCCCAGTCAGAGACGTCTGAAAGTTGCGGTTGTGTGGCTACGGAGGAACTGTGCCAAAAACTGCGCCACACGCCCTCCCCGCTTGGCCTTTTGCTTTCGATTCTGTTCCAATGAGATGCGTGTACGTAAACGTACGGCATCGGAATGGGAAAGGGTTAAGATTATTCTGCAAGGGAATATGGAAGGGGAGAGAGGATAGATGCTAAAGATCGCGAAAGGTGGAAAACATCTGTCATGAGCATCGGTCCTCAGTTACGAGGGTGACACAAGATGGATAGCACCGATTCAGGGCCCTCAATATCGGATATGATGAGAAATGCACAATTTTCATCTATGCAGGAAAAGACTCTGAAATATAACGGAATAATTAAATAGTTACCGTAAAGCCCAGGCGAAATAATTACGAGATTGATGCGATTAACGCTGTAAAAAGGTAATGTCAGATTTAACAGGAACATTAATGCGTGTTAATGTTATCTAATAATTTTAATATCTTCCTACAAAACGCAGTGTTTTAAAACCGTTCACTCGCAGACCAACACACACGCACGAACACCACACATCCTTCTCAGTCACTTCTTCCAAGGGCAGAGTCAATGAAAGCGTGTGTGTTCTAAAATTGTTTTCATTTGTCAACACTCTCAACAACCCACGTGTAAATTAACCCCAGACTGCAAGAACAATCTCAAAAATAACTGAATGACCGAAGGTGTAAATAGGCACAGAAAACAGAGAGCCATTGAAATGTCAGAATGGACCATTGCCGAAATGCGCTAAAATAGTGACAAAGAGGATACATTTTACTGCCCCGCGCGTATTTAAGAACCGACGGGACACACGGTTGCATTGTGTGCACGAAAGGCAAAGCGAGATATTGGAGCGCATCACATGACATGTTGGCGGCGATTAAACTTTTCAAAAGCAGTTTCTCTCAATCTTACATGTGATATGCTTTTGCAACGGGGAAATAAAAAATCGAATTTTCAATTACAGGCAGCACACTGCAGTCTTGAAGTAAGCCTACACATAACCGAGGCCTTGAAATGTTACACAACCCAAATATGTATGCGCAGTATTATACTCAACCGTTTCTTAATCGTGTATTGGTTTGATGTCAATAATTCAACGATGTGAGAGCCCGCTGAGATTCAGGACCTTTCCAAAAGACGACCCACGGGGGGGGGGGGGCCTATCGTCCCACAGGGGCAGGTATTAACGTTCATATTTCAGACTAAATCACATTACAGGCGAGGAGGGATCAAAGGTGACAGGATGGCCACCAAGGAGACGGAGCAATGAGATCGGCTCACGTGCAAGGGACAGTGTTGTTGTGACGCTGCAGGGCACCGTCGGACAGCGATGCCTGGACGAGGCCTTTATTCAGCAGTCGACAGATCACGTCTCGAAAACCACACTGCGCGGAAAACATTTCCGCACACTTCTTGCATACGAATGGCCTTGCTCCATTCTTACAAATGGGGATGGCATGCGGTCTTTTAAACATCTGCTTTTCAGTAGGCAGCAGCACTTCCTGCAGAAATTACTGACAAAAAGCAGTCGAGCGTTCTAGCCACCAGTAACATAAAGTTCCCCCATATAGCCTGCACAGGTTGTTGGGGCAAGTGCTGTTGGGGAGCATCTATGAAGGCCGGCAAAGTACACGAGGGGGTGGGTGGCCAGCACCAGTCCCGAGCGCCCTTCATATCCCCAGTGGCGATGTTTACATAACACACCAGCTAGCCATTATTTGAGGCCGATTCGACTTAGGGGAGGCCCACGACCGGTTCAGATATTCGTCACTGGGTGTTTGGCCATGAGTGGGAATCAAACTCGGGTCGCCGGATTTGTGGCGCTGACCACTCCGTGACTGCTTCCCAAATACACACCCACACACGTGTGTACATGCCATATATACACAATAGTACATATTAATGCTATATATTGGGATATTAATGTGGTGGATGCTGCCACGATGTAATGCTTAAGCATGCTTGACAGGGGGTTCAATCTCCCGGCGTGGCAGGTGAAATGACGAGGCACGTTTCTTAAATTTCCACACAGCAGCAGAAATAGGTACACCAGCCAGCTGACTGGCAGGTCACATGTGATGGGGTAAAGTATGGGTACTTCCACCTCTTACAAGATGTTTGGTCTGTATGGAAGAGGAGTCCAAATACCGTTAAGAGGGGCTTCTCTGGGGAGATACCTCTAGTGGAGAGATCCTTCCACCAGCAGTGGCGTTAATCTATGCATGTTGAACTCCTTTCGCAACGTACGTTGCCAACCGTGCTAATCGGAGGTACGGGGGAAGAACAACAAACTAAACACGAGCAGTTCTAAAAAAGCGGTTAGAAATAAATTCGTTTTCCATCTAGATGTAAAAATACATAGCTCCATTGGCTTCCTAATATTGGAAGGAAGAACGTTCCAGACGGTCGCAGCAGCACAACAAGCAGTTTTCAGGCTGCACATTTTCCCTTTAACACACATCAACGTACAAACGATTCAACGGCACGAAAATCTTGCGCTGCGTGGGTCACATGGAAGAATATGACCTCGGTCAAAAGCCACCCCCTTTCAATTTCGATTCCAACCGCCTGCAGGCCGATCTAATCCACCCCCGGCACTGGCTGGGTCTCATGCTGAAAACTCCACAACCGCTCGGACCCTCTTTTGTGACCGGCAAGCTCACACCACCTCTGTGGTGGCGCGGCTCATTTTCTTTGCCTCGCTAATAATGAAGGGAGCAAAACAAATGGGTTCGCATTTCACATTTGCATGTTTATACCCTTGGAGGCGAGCGCGCCCTCCGTCAATGGTATCGGAGCCCCGCACTCCCACCTGGGGTGGGATATTCAATCTGGTGAGGAAATCCTCGCAATGCATCATCTCTCCGGGTTGGCATTCACTATCCGAGGGCAACCGCCTCAACACGGGAGGAAAAGGGGGAAAAAAACGTAAATACTGTAACAAAAAAAAAAACAAAGGCATCGTGTCTTAGCTTTGGGTCGTGCGCTCATTCCCATGGGGGGTACTGACCCACTGCAGCAATTCCACATTATTATGGTGGGGTCCAGTCTATTCATAGCACAAACAGGAGTGACTTCCCACAAGGTGGTTTTCCAATTTTGACCCTGAATTAGATGATGGGCTTAGTCGACCCTGGCCAGCATATTAACTCTTAACCTTTGCATTGTGAGTTTAGTGCTTGGTCACAATGCAGCCTATAGTTGAATTATCAATACAAAGGGCACTCTCTTAATATGATGGCGGCTGTTGACGGAAGAGCCATTCAGTAATTATTATTCTAGTTATAGCCACGATGGGAAATGACTGGTCAGTAGAGACAGCACGATGCCAAGCCATATTTTTTGTGATATGTGCTGCTGTTTGTAGACATCTCATCAGGTACACATTTTAAAACGGAACAGACCTTGGGGAAGTCCACGCTGGGGACAGAAGCAATCTGTCACTCGTGTGCCTTCTCAAGAATTGGACTTGGGACACTGGGATTCCAGGGAAAAACAATTCTAAGGAGTTCATATTATTGGTTCTTTCGGTAAAGTCACGTAGAAGGGAAACAATAAAATAATAAAAATATAAAACAATACAATTCTCACGACGTTTCGACTGCAACGCAAGCAATCATCATCAGGTGTGAAAATCACAGCATAAAATTTTCAAATTTTCTTGCTGTGGTTTTCACACCTGATGATATTAATATTTTATTGTTTCCCTTCTATGCGACTTTACCGAAAGAACCAATAATATGAATCCCTTCAGTCACGAAAGCTTTAAATCAAAATTCTAAGGAGTGTTTTTGCCCAGGCTGTGACACAGCAGTCAGAAGTGGCCATGCAAAATGAATTAATTAAATTCAATGAATCGGAAATTAAAAGAGACAAACCGAATCACATTGCCAAGGCCAATCAGTTGCATACATCCACATGAACCTGCACAGAGACAAGCACACTGTTTGGGAAAATACTGTTGGTGAGCATCTATTAATGAAGGTTGGCATGGCGTTAAGTGCGGGCAGCCCGATGCCCGGCTACCTTCGTCCCCCCAACGCGATATTTTACACCATTCCAGGTAGTCATTGAAGGCTGAGTTCAGCCAGGCAGAGGCCCAAGACCGGTTCAGATACATCAAGGCACTGAAGTAAATTGAACCCCAGTCACCAGAATCAGAGAGAAGTGTGCAAACCACTGCACAAATACACACCAACACAATAACGGTTACAAAAGTGATGGCTATTAATAAACATGTAAATACAATTTACATGCATAGAGAGACTGGCTGGCCATCGTTATGGGAATGTGGCATTGCCATAACTGGCTCAAAGTATCACCAACGAAGGCCAACACTACGCTTTAAGGCTCTGGGGATGGCCCTTCGCACCTCCTCGGCAGATGGCACATCGGGCTAGCTTGCTCACAGGGGGGGCGAACAGCTTCTTCCTCTGACACGTGACGCTCAGCGGCCCTGAGCTCAGTCAACCGCACACAGCCGCCGATAGCCGAGCGGGCATTACCTGGTTGCGGTTGCGAGCCGAGGCGTAGCGGAACTTTTGCACGTAGTAGAAGATGAGCCAGGCGAGTGAGACGATCATGAGCAGGATGAAGGAGACGGAGACGAACACGACGGAGGGCCCGCGGGTGTATTGCACGTTGCGTGTGCCCTTGGTGATGAACGCCCAAAGGGTGGCGTTCCTCATGAGCATCCGCATCTTCTGACCCTGCCAGTACGGGATCATCACCGCCACAATATCGCCCGTACCTGCCGGGGCGAGAGATGACACATTGCGACAGTGCGTTAAAAAGGAGGAGGAGGACTGGGCCATGCTACGGAGCACCCGGCGCACAATGCTTCTGAAAAATAACTGTTGATTTTCTCTGAAGATAAACAAAAAAAAGTCTCATCTTTTCCCATTTTTATTATCATAATTTATTATTTATGCCTCACCTCCCCCATGCTTTCTCTTGCAACTGTGTTCACAATACCATTTCACAAAACAGAGTACCCATTTCAAAACCTGTCAGTGTAGTGCAACACAACGTGCTTTATGAGGAACCGATATGAGAGGGCTGCCACCGAGATGCCTTCAAGTCACCCCCCCCCCCCCCCTTCATCTGCACACTCGGAAGTGCACTTTCCCACAAGCCCTGCTACTGAGAAACATTCATCGCACGGCAGTCAAAACTACATATATAAAACACACCTTTCTAACTCTCATCGATGGAATTGATGCCAAATTAAGTGAAGTGTATAATTGTGATTTTTTTTTTTCCCGTGGTCTCTCACGGCCGAGCCGAGAACCGTATTCGAACCCAGCCTCGTGGCTTTGTGGGCACGGTGCTCCGACCCCTCAGCTACCCAGCCACCGCCCTGATACGATTCTTGTGACAACAATGCACGAGGAATCTCTCACTGAAGAAGAATGTGCATCGTGCAGTTGTTGTAATGTGATTGATTAGGGCAGGCATTTTAGATGGAAGCACTGGTTGCTACTAATTAAATAGCACATCTAGATAATTCAGTCACTAAAGCATTGGAAACATACCGGTAATAAATCTAACTATTGCACTTCTCTTTTGGAGAGATAACCCGTATGATGACTTATTAATATTAGGTTAATGTTAAGGTTTGTTAAGTTAATGTTAACTTAATGTCAAGGTTTTGTATTTTGGTAAAACTTGTTTTTTCCAATCCACACGGCTGGTCACTGCTTTTTGTGTTTAGTTTGTCGTCCTTCCCACACACGTCCAACTAGCACGGTGAAAAAGAAGTTAAACATCCACACACACACACACCGGTTCGATGTTATTCTTAATATTGAGCAATTTCCCCAAAAAATACATTGGACCAGTGGCCGGCAGTAAAGCGCAAAGGGAAACATTCACAAATAGCGACCCCATCACCGAACGCTTGAAGAACAGAAGACGGTCTACTAATCTGGCAAAACAGCCTCATGGACAGCCCTGTTCCTCCAAACCCCCAAGACAGCACGAGGCCTTATTGCACGCCATCACTGGAATGATCACCGTTCGGTTTGTTGTGTGTGGCTCACGCAGAGCCACGTCTGCAACAAACTGGCGGTGTGGCTGCCAACAAAACATCCCACACCCCTCCTCGGCGTGCGGTCAAGTCGATCGGCAAGGTCGCGTGTGCCGAGATGAAAATGTGCGGGTTCGACTCCGGCCTCTTCCCAGGCCGCCTGTCTGGTGTGGCAGAGTATCCTCTTGAGGGGGCCTCTCTTTTGAGCTTCCTCAAGCGGAGCCCCTTTCCGTCAGCAGCGGTACGAGAAAAGCAACTGCAGGGCTGCACCTTCAGATTTTCCCCGAGTGTGTTCACCCACCCCCAATTTGAACCCAAAAGAAGTGGTGGACAGACAGGAGGCTCAAAGGCAGTTAAAGAAGCCTTGCCAATTCCAAAATCCAGGGACGCCACAACAAGAGCGAGACATAACATTCCAACTGTCTTGAACGAGTGAAGGTCACACGGCATTAACTAGGCTATTTCACAGAAGGGACTCTTCCCATCAGGCTAGCTCTCCTTGCGATAAATAAACACGGTAAATAACAATGGATGTTGCTGTGTGTGTGTGTGTGCGCGCGCATGTCTCTGTATGCGCCCAGTTTGGAAATGTGTAAACACATATTTGAACCGTAATGACACAGAAATACACAGATTTCGGAACGCCAGGTTTTCATTTTAACAAGATTGTCTACACCGGCACTTTAACCGTTATTTTGGTGAATGAACAAAAAACAATTTGCTCGTGGGTAGCAGCAGAAAATGTGGAAACGAGAAGCTTATTCAAAATGACAACACGCGGCGGAAACGTCAACACGGCTCAATGGATTCACGTGAACATTTGGCACCAGAGAATATACTAACCCTTTCCCTAAATTCTATGCTAATTCTTTTGTCAAGGCGCTTTGTTTCTTCTCACACAGCTTAAAGGTCGCGATCTGAGCGTGGCTTTTTCGCTCCAGCGCTGTCCTCCAGACAGTCTCGTCCCTTTACCTGATGAAGGCCGCTTGTGTTGTGGCCGAAACGTCGTGAGAATTTAATTGTGTTATTTTATTTTATCAATTTATTATTCTATTCTCATTCTACGTGACTTTACCGAAAGAACCAAAGAAGATAAGCCTTTCCCGTTCCAAGGCGACTGCAATTTGCAGCAGGGTGGGTCCCATTCACCGCTGAATCTCAGAACGCACAAATGGCCCAGCATAAATTTGTATTTATAGAGGCATAGCATCGTTGTTTTTAAAAAAGGCACTGTCCTCACCGCAAAGAGCTGTAGCGACACGACCACACTCTATGAAAACTGGCGTCAAACTTTTCCACACACCCTCCCACATGGCCTTGTGGGAGCCTCGGTACCACAAAAGTAATTTTATTTTTTCTTCCAGTTCAATTACGATGACGCACACGTACGTATACAGTGAGGGAAAAAAAGTATTTGATCCCCTGCTGATTTTGTACGCTGCCCACTGACAAAGAAATTATCAGTCTATAATTTTAATGGTAGGTTTATTTGAACAGTGAGAGACAGAATAACAACAACAAAATCCAGAAAAACGCATGTCAAAAATATTATAAATTGATTTGCATTTTAATGAGGGAAATAAGTATTTGACCCCTCTGCAAAACATGACTTAGTACTTGGTGGCAAAACCCTTGTTGACAATTACAGAGGTCAGACGTTTCTTGTAGTTGGCCACCAGGTTTGCACACATCTCAGGAGGGATTTTGTCCCACTCCTCTTTGCAGATCTTCTCCAAGCTATTAAGGTTTCGAGGCTGACGTTTGGCAACTCGAACCTTCACCTCCCTCCACATATTTTCTATGGGATTAAGGTCTGGAGACTGGGTAGGCCACTCCAGGACCTTAATGTGCTTCTTCTTGAGCCACTCCTTTGTTGCCTTGGCCGTGTGTTTTGGGTCATTGTCATGCTGGAATACCCATCCACGACCCATTTTCAATGCCCTGGCTGAGGGAAGGAGGTTCTCACCCAAGATTTGACGGCACATGGCCCCGTCCATCATCCCTTTGATGCGGTGAAGTTGTCCTATCCCCTTAGCAGAAAAACACCCCCAAAGCATAATGTTTCCACCTCCATGTTTGACGGGGGGGATGGTGTTCTTGGGGTCATAGGCAGCATTCCTCCTCCTCCAAACACGGCGAGTTGAGTTGATGCCAAAGAGCTCCATTTTGGTCTCATCTGACCACAACACTTTCACCCAGTTGTCCTCTGAATCATTCAGATGTTCCTTGGCAAACTTCAGACGGGCATGTATATGTGTTTTCTTGAGCAGGGGGACCTTGCGGGCGCTGCAGGATTTCAGTCCTTCACGGTGTAGTGTGTTACCAATTGTTTTCTTGGTGACTATGGTCCCAGCTGCCTTGAGATCATTGACAAGATCCTCCCGTGTAGTTCTGGGCCGATTCCTCACCGTTCTCATGATCATTGCAACTCCACGAGGTGAGATCTTGCATGGAGCCCCAGGCCGAGGGAGATTGACAGTTCTTTTGTGTTTCTTCCATTTGCGAATAATCGCACCAACTGTTGTCACCTTCTCATCAAGCTGCTTGGCAATGGTCTTGTAGCCCATTCCAGCCTTGTGTAGGTCTACAATCTTGTCTCTGACATCCTTGGAGAGCTCTTTGGTCTTGGTCATGGTGGAGAGTTTGGAAACTGATTGATTGCTTCTGTGGAAAGGTGTCTTATACAGGTATCAAGATGAGATTAGGAGCACTCCCTTTAAGAATGTGCTCCTAATCTCAGCTCGTTACCTGTATAAAAGACACCTGGGAGCCAGAAATCTCTCTGATTGAGAGGGGGTCAAATACTTATTTCCCTCATTAAAATGCAAATCAATTTATAACATTTTTGACATGCGTTTTTCTGGATTTTGTTGTTGTTCTTCTGTCTCACACTGTTCAAATAAACCTACCATTAAAATTCTAGACTGATCATTTCTTTGTCAGTGGGCAAACGTACAAAATCAGCAGGGGATCATATACTTTTTTCCCTCACTGTACATACGTCATCAACTAATGCTGGATGAGGGCCTCCCCACACGATGCAGATCATGGAGGCTATTTGAACATACTTCACCACACCGGTCAATGGCGGGTTGGGGAAGGCGGGAGGAGTCTCGATGTTGGTGCTCACAAGTACATTTAAGAACATGCATTTAGATTATTTGGCTGCTAGATATTTGCGCATGATAAGCCACTTCGTTGAGCTGTCATTTGTGAATAGCCAGGACACTTTTGAAAAATAAACTAATAGCTCAGTGGGCTCTACCTGGTAAAATAAAAATAGTTAAGTTTTATTTTTTTTGTGGTTTTCTTTCCTTTCATATACTTTGCACTCCTATCGCGTTTGTAGTGTTTGTTGTTTTATCTTGCCGACCCACCCCAACTGGACATCTGTGAAACAGAGCTTCAGAGCTCATCAGATTACTCCAGTATAAATAAAGATTCTGACAGTACAACAGTGTAGTGTGCAGCACTGCCCCTCTGCTGCCCACTACATAGGTCTGGTACACCCTACAGTAACGTGTACATGTTAGCCACCATCCAAGCACTGTCCAGGCTCAAAACATGCTTAGCTTCCAAGATCTGATAAGAGAAGGGACATGCCAGGTAATTTGGTGGTAGGTTAGTCACATACTACTACAGTAAACCCTTGGATTGCGAGTAATTTGGTCTGCGAGTGTTTTGCAAGACGAGCAACATTTTTCAAGTAAATATTAATTTGA